GGGGAGAGTGTCACGGGCTAGGAACTTGGGTCCGAGACACTGGTGCAAGTGTCCGACAGAGAGGTTCAAGACAGAGGATCGGGCTTGCTAAGACATTGGTGCAAGAGTCCGAAAGGGAATCTCAAGATAGTTATCGGGCTTGCCAAAGCCACCAGACTTGGCCCATCGCTTCGAGAATGCTATGGAGCCCGTTCACATTAGCCGTGCAGAAAAGGAAAGTGGCATCATATCTGAAGATGATCACAGAAGCTCGGTAAATATGGCAAGAGGCAACAAAATCAGGAAGATATTGTGGGAAAATCTTACCATATCCAGTGTGAACACCTATCGAAGGAAAGAATCCTACTAATGGATGTAATTAGGAATGATTTGGTTGTAATTCCTTGATTTAGGGGATTTGTCATTAATTGGGCAAATCTTAGCCGTTGATGTAAAATGATCTAGGCCATTGATTGAGAGGGAGCTCAACTATAAATAGAGAGCTCTCCTCCTCATTTGTAATGACCCAATTCCATTCTTCTCTTTGTGAGAGAGTAATAAAGCTCTGAGGCATTTGCTCTATTCTTTCTGAGTTCTTAGTTCTTTGTTCTTGTTGCCTAGCTCGGTGGCCAGGAGTAGCCACCTTCGTGTTAGCACTTCCACACGATAGTCCGACCTTGTCGGCATTCTAAAGCTTCCGCAATCCGAAGCCTTGAGGGCTTGGTTCCAACCTTTGTGAGTTTGCACACTCACTTAGCTTGGGTAAGGCTTACTTAGTCGCCGAGAAGACCGAGGAGCGTCTAAAGCGTCTAAGGCCGCACGACCCGTCAGACCTTGACTCTGATATTCCGACGGTGTGAGGCGTCGAAGTTCTGGGGGCGTGACACTAAGGTCTAGAACAAAAAGTTCTCTATAGTATAACATTACAACTAAATATAAATATATAGATCATGCTTCAAATATGACTGAGAAAAGTTATCTGCAGAGGTTGAATAGTTGCACTCCTTAGGGAATAAAGGATGTGGAGGTTCTCCGCATAGAGGGAAGACTCGTTTTAGTAGAAATTCTTTTCCTTTATAGCAAAGATTCTTTCTGCGATCATCTTGTCTAGTCATTTCTAACAATTGTGTCATTATCTTATCAAACATAAATATAAGGGATGTAAAGATTCTTTTCATAGAAGGAATAGTCGTTTCAAATGCTTTTCACTTTATAATAAAAGATTCTCTACAAAATCATATTATATCATTTTCGATAATTGTATTTTATTTTATCGAAATGGAGAGATATTAATAATTCTCTAAAGAGGTTCAACAATTACACCTCTTCGTAAATAAGAGATGCATGAGTTTTCTGCATAATGGAAAGGCTTGTTTTAACATAAGCTATTCCCTTTTATAAAGATATTCTATGTAAATTATATTATCTAATCATTTTTAATAAATACAATATAATATTTGTTTAAAAATAACTCTTAATCATTTGATATTATATGTTCACATTCATTGTATTATTGATGCTCGAACCGAGACCTCAAAAAATTAAAATAATTCATTTATCACCAAAGTCGATTGGTTCATGCATTTAATAAATACATTTTAGATCTATAATATTTTAAGTTAGTATTTTTTTAATGTTCTTATTATTTGATAATTTTTTTTTTGAATTGAAAAGAGTTAGCTAAGAGCTATAGACTAAGACTGAACAGGTGCCTTCCTGCAATATTTGTATCCAGCAGTACCTTTGTGGAGCAAGTCATGAACCTCTTGAGGGGGGTGATCGTGAATGTGCAAAGAGAGTTGACCAGGAGACGACAACTTGGACATTTTGTCTGCCACCAAATTCCCTTCTCGATTAAGTAGCCCAGCAATGATTACGCAAATCAGCAAATGAGCGAACCAGTGGGAAGCGACTCCTCTCCGCATTCAGGTCATTAACAAGGTTCACTGCTTCAGAGTTATCCACTTGAACCTGCAAAAATTCAACTCCAAGAGACCATGCAACTTGAAGTCCAATAAAAATCCCCCAGAGCTCGGTTTGTAACGGAGTAGAGATACCGATATATTTGTTGAAACCAGATAACCATGAACCATCACAAGAGCCAATGACACCGCCAATCGAACTTGAACCATTTACCATATCCACAGCACCGTCTGTATTTAGAGAAAGCCATTGAGCAGGTAGTTTCGACCATGCAATACATTCCAAATTTTGGCCAACAATGGCACAGTTGAAGAGATCCCCAAGAGGCCAAGTCTCTGACGAGAAAACATAATCATTTCGGCGCTTCCAAAGGAGCCGAAGAAATGTCGAAAACAGTATGCACCATGGAATTCCATTATGTGAGGCGGAGGTTCTAGAATTCAGATTGCGAAGGAGCCAGTTTTGAAATTGAGACTGATAGAACTCAGAATCATCAGGGGCGAAGAATCTACTCCAGATACCTTGGACAGCAGGACAATCTCGAAAAGTGTGGGGAAGAGTCTCGGGGCCGGATTTGCAGATCGGGCAAGAGGGATCTGAAGTGAGCCGGCGTTGAGCTCGCTCAAGTTGAGTCATGAGTTGTCCATGCAAGGCTTTCCACACAAATAACCGGATACGCTGAGGCACTTGGAGAGACCAGACGGATTTCCTATCAGCCGATCTATCATTCCAGTTGTTACCTGCCAAGCACTCATAAGCAGAGGCAACATTGAAGCAAAGCTTGGGACTCCATCTCCAGTGGCAAGAGTCTGGCAAATCAGATGCATTGGGGGGGGCCCGAAAATGTGAGGGATTGCATCAGGAAGGAATAAAGCAGATAAGCGGCCGATATTCCACTCACCCGAGTCTACTATAAGATCTGAAATGCTGATGTTTTGATCAATGGCATTGGGGTGGAGCGCCCATTGACGCAGGGGCCAAGAGACGGCACCCATATATCTTTTATGTAATTATTATTTGAAGTTGATAAGTTTTTCTTACCGTTAAAATGTAAAATTTGTATTATTTCATAAATATAACTTAAAATATATTTTTAACCATATCTAAATATATTTTACAAAAAATATCCAAAGAAATAATAAATTCTTATAATTAGATTTTTTTAATAATATGAGGTAAGTACAAAATAATATCTATTTGAAGAACACTTTCAACCTTTCAACATTAAATGCTAACACCTCTGACATTTATGGTACTCGAACGTTACTGAACGTATATGATACTAAATAACCTTGGATTCAAAATTGAAAAATAATTAAATTATTTTTAATATTCATTGCCCAATGCATTAAATTACTAAAAAATAATTTTAAAAAGTAAATTGTTAAGAGTTATAAAACAAACCCTAAACTTAAAAAAAAGGAAGTTTAATTAGGTTAAAATTTGGTTCGTTTGCACTGTAATCCATTAGCTTTCTTTGCTTTGAAATAAAACGATAAGGACACCAACATCTTAAAAGATACAACTTAAATATCAAATTTTAAAGCCATATTTAAATTTAATGCATTAAAATTATTATTTTAGAAAAAATATTATTAAAACAAAATACCACAAACTCTATCAAAATAATACTTACCCCAGTCGGGCTGATTTTCTTCTTATTTTTCATTATTAAATTTTCCTTGAAATTTTCGTAGCACCACAAACAAACTAGGCTTTGGGCTATTTATTTATCTTTTAATGGAATTATTCAATGTTAAACGTTAAATCGATTAATATTTAATGTTTTTGTTTTACACCTCTAAATGATTCAGTGTTGATTGATTCAGTAAAATAATATTGAATGATTCAGCACAGAAATACATTCTGAATGATTCAGAGTCAATAAAAAAACAGTATATTACATTCAAAATCTCTAAATCAAAACATTTAATCATTATAAAATAAACAAACAATCTTTAATTTAAAAACCAAAATTCTTGCTAATAAATTACAGGTCCTTTCTAGAAACCCCCCAATATTTCCGCTTTTTTTCTTGGGAAGGGGGCGTCATAAATTCATAGTACACTCTCTTTCCTCTTTCTCATTAATACTGCTAAGTTTTTCTCTCTCTCCAAAAAAAAAAAAAACAACCACCTTTTCTCTGTACTTTTTCCCCCACCTAGTGAATGCAACTTGATGATCCCAAAACTCGTGTTTCGGCTCAATGAGTAATCGGTATTACTGCATTTTCATTCAACTTTTCTCCCTTTGCTTATCTTTTTAGTTACTAGAAGAGGGTACGGTTTTGTTTTGTTTTTTCCTTTTGAATGTTGGAGTTTTTCTAAGGATTTTAGAATCTGGGTTTTGATTTTTGGTCTTGATAGCTAAGAATTTGGATGGATCTGAGAGTTAATTTAAAGAGAAGGGTTTTTTGAGTCAATTTATCTGTTAAAACTTTAGAAACTTCATTTTTCAATATTAATACAGTAGAATAAGAGGGATTCTTTTACTATTATTTGATAAAACTGAAGGCTAGATCATGGAACATATTTTTGGTGTAAAATTCAAGCTTGGTCGAAAGATTGGGAGTGGATCTTTTGGTGAACTTTATTTAGGTATATGATAACATTTATATATATATATATATATATATATATATTCTCCCTTGCAGCTGTTATGTTGATTTTTGTGTTTTTGTTTCGCAGCCGTTAATGTACAGAATGGAGAGGAAGTGGCTGCTAAGCTGGTAATGTTTGATGTGTTTGTTTTTTTGTTTAATCACAAACAATTCTTTTATTCTGATGTAATTGAAGAAAATAGAGTAGGGGATTTATGCTTTTATCAAGAACACGTTTGACTGTGATTTATTTTGAATATTGTTAGAATTAGATCTTCTGACATTTGCTGCTAATATAGGAATAGGTGCATTTGTTATTCATGTTGATAGTTTTGGATGATCTGCTTAAGTGCTTAAACGAATTTCTCTAGAAGTTTAGTTGTTACATTGTAGTTGTACTTTGTTTCGTTTTCAATTTGATATTTTAATTGAATTTAATACTCTTGCCGATGTTTGGAGTGTTGATTCTGTTATTGGTTTGTTTGTTGTTGTTTGTCCAGGAATCAGTCAAGACCAAGCATCCCCAACTGCTCTATGAATCTAAGCTGTACATGCTTCTTCTAGGAGGGAGTAAGTTTTGTTCATCTCTTCTCTTATGTATCTATCTATTTTATTATGATATGTTGGTGTCCGTTACCAGTTCTCTGTTCTTCTAACTTTCTTTTACATGTTCAGCCGGTATTCCTCATTTAAAATGGTTTGGAGTTGAGGGTGAATACAATGTCATGGTTATTGATTTCCTTGGACCAAGCCTAGAAGATTTGTTCAACTATTGCAATCGGAAGTTTTCTTTAAAAGCAGTTCTATTGCTTGCAGATCAGTAAGTCACTACCTTTTTCTGGAAACTTTAATTTGGTCGGTCGGCTGCCTTATTTACATGTGTTCTTTTCGATTTAGATAAACAGAGTTGAGTATATGCACTCTCGTGGTTTTCTTCAGCGTGACATAAAGCCCGATAACTTTTTGATGGGTCTAGGGTGCAAAGCAAATCAGGCATGCTCCATTTATTTGCTGCTCTATCTGCGCATGTGTTTCTTGGATTTGTAAATAGACAATAAGGCATGATATCATGTTGATAAGATTTTGACACAAGTTTATGTTCCATTTGAAATATATTTTTCCCTAGTCAGCATACCCAAGGCATTCATTTTCATTCCTAGACCTCATAAACAATTTGGTTTCATGATCAACTGTTTTTAGAAAATCTTGCCTAATTTACCTCTTGTCATGAATTTTCAATTCATAAATAATAAGCATATATCTTTCTCTAGTGATCATTTAACACTTGTAACACTGTCCTTATTATATTGTAGTAATTTTTTCTTTGTAAAATGTAAACCTTTTCTATGGCTATGGTTACTCATTGAGTTATCATCATTTTTTGGTTGTGCAGGGAAAACAAGAATCTTACAGGAACAACTCGATATGCAAGTGTTAACACTCACCTTGGAGTTGGTGAAGAACTTATTGCACTTAATATTCTTATGGATTTTACACTCAGCAAAAATTGTAGCTTCGATTATTTGGGCTTTATATATTATCCAACATGCTCTACAAAACTTGCAGAGCAAAGCAGGAGGGATGATCTCGAATCCTTGGGTTATGTGCTTATGTACTTCCTTAGGGGAAGGTTGGTTGAACACACAAGTGGTTGCTTGCTTGACAAGTCTTTTAAAACTTCAAGACTTTGTTAACTTAGTTTCTTGTTCAATATCTCAGTCTTCCATGGAAGGGCTTGAAAGTTGGCACCAAAAAGCAGAAGTATGACAAGATTAGCGAAAATAAGATGCTTACTCCAATAGAGGCAACATACTTGCTTTTAATGGTCAGAATTTTCATGAAGTTTCCTGCTGGTTCTCTTCTTTGCAAGAAATTGTGGACTGAATGTATGCCTCACAATTATTATGCCATTTTCAGGTCCTTTGCAAATCATATCCTTCTGAGTTCACATCATATTTCCATTATTGTTGATCACTACAATTTGAAGGCAAACCAGATTATTCATATTTAATACTTGAAGAGGCTATTTTGGGACCTTTTTATTCGAGAAGGTTAACTCTAATTCTCACTGTTGAAGTATCACATTCAGGCAGAAAAGAGGCAACTATGATCAAGCGAACTCGAATTCTCTTTTAGGTTTACATTCAGTTTGGTGTTCATTTCCAAAGAAAGATTAGAGTTTGTAGAGTTAATCGAATGACAAAATTGGCTAAGAGGGGGTGAATTGGCAATAAAAATTTTGTGAAAGCTTTTGCAGAAAATTGAAAGTAATTGCACATCGATTTATAGTGGTTCGACTTTCTCAAACAAAGTCTACTTCCACTACCTTAGCTATCCACACTAAGGATTTTTCAACAAATTCACTAATTTGTTCTTTCTTTTGAGGTCAAAGAGATAACCTTATAATTCCCTCAAGAGTATACCCCAATTCTTGAGAACATTCTTTTCTCAAAGAGAAGATTACAAATTTGCAAACTTACAAAAAAACTCACAAGGTAAGATGTTTGCACAATTCTAGAACAAAGAAAAGAACACTCAAAAATGAATACAATTGAGCACAAAAAAAAGTGTTCTTGAAAGTAAAATGAATATTGAATGAAAATAGGCTTGAAATGTTCAAACTTGAGGTTTGATGCTTTCTCTTTGATTCTCTCTTGATTCTAGTTGCTTGATGTTTCTTGTTCTTGATCAATGGTTCCAGAACTTGTTTAAATACCCCTTGAATCAATTCTGAACGTTGGTGATAATTAGTGGGGATAATAGAGCCGTTTAAGTGTGAAAACAATTAATTTTTCTAGGTGGAGCGTCTCATGCATCGATGCATGATCAAGTATGCATCGGTGCATTCGTGTAAAATTCAAATATTTTGACCGTTGGAACGCTTGATGCATAGGTGCACCAAGTGTGTATCGATGCATGAAATGCATTCGATGTTTGAAAAATAGTCTGATGCATCGATGCATGGCTTGTGCATCGATGCATCAAATGCATTCGATGTTTTGAAAATATTCAGAGTGCATCGATGCATGGAGAGTGCATCGGTGCATGGAATGCATTCGATGTTCAATTAATTCATTGATGCATCGATGCATGTACTGATGCATCGGTGCATGCCTTTGAATAATTGATTTAAGGCTTGTTTTTTGTTCAAAATACTTTGTGAAAATTGTTTCAAAAATAGTTTAAGTACAAATCACAATTTTACACATTTAGTAAGGATTAAAATTGATCTTGAAAAACTTAGAGTAATAATTTGATATTCGGTTAATTGAATCGAATATAAAATTGTAAAATCATTTGTAAAATCTTAAAATTCATTTAACTTAATTTGTTATATCGAAATATCAAAAATGTTTTCAACAATCTCCCCCTTTTTGATATAACAAAACATTTGAGTAATTTTAAGATTTGTTTGAAATCGATTTTGAAAAACTTACTCCCCCTTACTATAGCACATCTTAAATTTTCTCTCCCTTTTTGTTAAATCAAAAAGACTCTATATAAACGTTTTAAACAAGAATTTTGAAAAACATTAGCCAATTGATATATTAATAATAAGCTGCTAAGATCACAATCAAAAGAGATATTAGCCATTAGTTTTCATAAACAATATTCATAATAAAATGTGAAATGGCATAATTTGGTCATAAATTTCTAATGATGCAAAATTAATAAACAGAAAGCGTTAAAATGGCAAACCAAATATATATAATAAGTTCAAGCATCCTCAAACAAACATCCAACAACTAATCAAGTTCAAAGTATCAATCAAACCACAAAAATCAAATCCAAGTTTTAAGAACAAGAAAGCATGGCAAGTAAGTCTACTCCATCGGAGGATCGGGAGGAGGATGTTGAGGAACGGGAGGACGGTTTTGGTGAGACCGACTAGAGGATGTCCTAGGGCGTTTAGGATTAGTCATGGTAAGGAAAATCGGAAAAGGAATATCACCTGCAATTTTAAAATACATGTATGCAGAACAATTAATCCCAAAACTCAAATGAGTCCTCAATAATTCAAGGTTCTCTAACATAATCCCAATGGGCAAAGTTTTGAAAACTATTTTAAAATAATATCATAATATGTATAGTTTTCATGAAAACAACACAATTAAATCAAAACTATCACTTAATTTTATTTTTTTTTATTTTTTTTTAAATTCGAAATTTTAATTTTGAAAAATTATGTGTTTTTGATGAAATTCGTTGTAGAAACTAGTTTAGAATCATCATATAACTAATGCCCGATAATTATTTCAAACTAGAACTAATCTAAACGAGTCATAAGTTCAAAAATTAATAAAATAGAGTTTTTGAAAAATTACCTTGAAAAATTCGGATTGAGGGGAATGTGAAGATGTTTTGAGCGATTTAATGATTGTAGCAGGTTTGTAGGATAAAAATCTTGAAGAATCCGATGTTTTCCCAAAGATTTTGAGCAAAAATAGAGATTTTGAGAGAGAGAGAGAGGTCAAATGGCCGTATGTTTTAGTGTTTAGGGTTTGAGAAAAATGAAGAAGATGAGGATTTTAAACCTAAAACCCGACAGATGCATCGGTTCATGTTCTTATGCATCGATGCATATTCAAGGCATGCATCGGTGCATCATGGTGATGCATCGATACATATTCAAAGGGATGCATCGATGCATTGTTAAATGCATCGGTGCATGAAGCACAAAAATGTCAAAAATCCGTTTTAAACACTTAAAAAGCTAAATTAATAGGCTCTAGTGGTGTTGGCAACTCATATATCAAAAATTAATTATGTTCAATCAATTAGTCTTTAAACATTATTTGAACATAAAATTAATTTTCACTAAGAATCATAAACTCCCCCTAACTAATAGCAAGAATGCAATCAAAAATTATTATTATAAGTATTTTTCAGTATTTATTAAAAGTGCTAAATTATTTTAAACACTAAGTGAAGATAGGTCAGTTAAACCTAATTCTCTTCTAAGTGTCCAAAACCTTTCCTTGTCTAAGGGTTTTGTAAAAATATCCGCTAATTGGTGCAAAATATCAACAAATTCTAGAACTACATCTTCCTTAGTGACATGGTCCCTAATGAAGTGATGTCTTATTTCAATGTGCTTAGTTCTAGAGTGTTGGATGGGATTTTTAGTGAGACAAATAGCACTAGTATTGTCACACTTGATAGGAATGATACCTACTTCAATTCCATAATCAAAAAGTTGTTTCATCCATAAAACTTGTGCACAACAACTACCGGCTGAAATGTATTCCGCTTCAGTGGTAGATAATGCAACACAATTTTGCTTCTTTGAAAACCAAGAAATCAACATATTTCCAAGGAATTGACAAGTACTGGAGGTGTTTTTCCTATCTAATTTGCATCATCCATAATCTGCATCAGAAAAGGCATGCAAGCTAAAGCTATAGTCTCTAGGATACCAAAGTCCTAAACTAGGAGTGTCCTTAAGGTATCTAAAGATTCTCTTAATAGCTAGTAAATGTGATTCCTTAGGACATGATTGAAATCTAGCACATAAGCAAACACTAAACATAATGTCCGGTCTACTTGCAGTTAGATAAAGCAAAGAGCCAATCATTGACCTATATAATTTAACATCTACACATTTACCTCCTTCATCTAAGTCAAGCTTTGTTGAAGAGCTCATTGGAGTGTTATGAGGTTTCCCATTTTCCAGTCCAAACTTCTTAAGCATATCTTTGACGTACTTAGCTTGATTAATGAAGATGACATCTTTTCATTGCTTGATTTGGAGTCCCAAGAAAAATGAGAGCTCCCCCATCATGTTCATCTCAAACTCACTTTGCATTAGCTTAGAAAATTCTTGGCAAAGAACATCATTAGTAGAGCCAAATATTATATCATCAACATAAATTTGAACTACTAATAAATCTTTACCTTTATGTTTTAAAAATAATGTAGTGTCAACCTTTCCTTTTGAAAAACCTTTTTCAATTAAAAAATTTGACAATCTTTCATACCAAGCTCTAGGAGCTTGTTTTAAACCATAAAGAGCTTTTGTCAATTTTAAAACATGATCCGAAAAATTTGAATCTTCAAAACCTGGAGGTTGTTCCACGTACACTTCTTCATTTATAAAACCATTTAAAAATGCACTTTTAACATCCATTTGATATAATTTAAATTCATTGAAACATGCAAATGCTAATAACATTCTAATTGCTTCCATCCTAGTTACGGGAGCGTATGTTTCATCATAGTCTATGCCTTCTTCTTGAGTATAGCCTTGAGCAACAAGTCTAGCCTTGTTCCTCACTATATTACCACTTTCATCAAGTTTATTTCTAAAAACACATCTAGTACCTACAGTAGATTTATTACTAGGCCTTTCAACTAATGTCCATACTTTACTTCTCTCAAATTGATTTAATTCTTCTTGCATAGCCATAGTCCAATGTTCATCTTTTAATGCTTCTTTGATGTTCTTAGGCTCTATGCATGAAATAAATGCAACATAATTACAGATATTTCTAAGAGAAGATCGAGTAGTTACCCCTTTTGATGGATCACCTATAATTTCACCATCTTTGACATAGTTGTACTCTCTTGGAAAAGATACTTCCCTTTCTTCAATGGTTGGATTCTCGAGGAGATCATGAGTTTCCTCATCTTTTGTTTCTTCATTTGATGATGATTCTCCAACGTCATGTCTAACGTCATTTGCTTGTACAATACCTACATCATCATTAACAGAAGAATCCTTCCTCGGAAGGGGATTATCATCGAAAACAACATGTATAGACTCTTCTACAACTAAAGTTCTTTTATTAAATACACGATAACCTTTAGAATTTAAGGAATAACCCATAAAAATTCCTTCATCACT